ACACTGTCAGACGACTGGTCTCAGAACACCTTTGAATGAATACCTTGATATCTAGTGTGATAATAGTCCTTCCATCAAGCACTCAAACATATAAGTGATATTGACTGGGTTTAAGGCAGATTAAAAAAAAAAATAATAACAAGTAAAAAAGTAATAAAATCTTCTGGTTAAATAATAAAAAGTTTCATAATAACAAGTGTAAACATGATGCTATTTTATTTAGTGTAAATAGGTGGGAGAAGCAGTATCCAAAGTCTCAAAATAAACAGATAAATCAATAAATACTCACAAAAACAAAAAGGAAAAAGGAAAAAGACTTCTAAACCCCCTACCTTGTACGTTAGTTTGAGCTGGTGTGAGGAGAAGTAGCGTGGGGGGTCGAATATAATGTATTCTGCATCTTCCGCCATGAGTCCGTGGTAATTGTTTTCTCGACAAAAGGCAATTACTTCTTGGTGGTGGTCGTCCATGGTGCAAAGCTGCCATTGGGATGTGAGAAACAGTGTATAAGGGACTCTTCTTTTGTATGACTCATGTTTAAAAACCTTTATTGCAGTTTGTAATACAAAAAGTATGTTTTATAACATTCTATACAGCAGACAACCAGATGATGATAACTGAGGATGAGGATTAGGAGGAAGAGGATAAGGGTGAGGAAGATGAGTATTAGGAAGAAGAGGAAGAGGATGAACACAATAATAATTACAACAATAATGATAACTATAATATTAATGATAATAATAATATTCAACAAATAATGATACTAACGATCATTGTAACATGACATGAATAACTCAACGCCCAGAGATATGTCCAAGTCAGTGGTGACATGAAAACAAGTCAGAGCCAGAGCCACAACCGAGTGAGCCATGACATGAACCCCACATCATATGTAGGCTATTAGTTAATATTAATATCAATAGCAATATTTTATAACATTAACAGTAACAACAATAATGCTGATGATGATTACAACATTACTCTAAGAATAAATGATACATCAAATGAAAAAGAAGCAAAAGAAAATGAAGAATCTGGAGACCAAAAAATAAGAGAAAAACTTTTCCACTAACCACTTGTATATTAAGGTGGCGCAAGGCCATGCGCAAACAGGTCCGCAAGCCAACAGGAGCCACCCACCACACCTTGGGCGGGGGAGTACCCTTCACTGTCACATGTTTCAGCACCTGCACAAAAGAAGACAACTATTGATATCTAGCTAGCTGGTTATTTTCCAAGGGCACTGTAAACAACATATTCAGGGCCTTAAATATTATAGGAGCTTATTTTCCTCAGTAAACATATTCTCTTTTCCTCAAGTTTACACCAATTTCTGATTATGATTGTAGTTTTCTATCAAACTCTGATCTTTGAATATCTGTTGATGTAATTGCAGAAGGCATACTGAGTAGGGAGGGGTGGCATGTACAAGTACACAGAAAACTATCATTAGAAAGGGTGTCGAAACATTCAATAAGGAACAGAACCTTGTTACGGAAAGGTTGGTATTATAGGGTTCGAATTGATCTTGTTCTGATTAATAATGTATCGAATAGTCGTTCCGGAATTCCTATGGATTCACTGTGACATGATGATCTTATTCCTGAAAAGGATGGAATATGCCTTGCAATATGCAGACAAGCCACAAGCCTTCTAGGATATAATAATAATCTGCGACAAGAAGCCTTTTTTTTCTGAAGGAACCAACGCTGCGAGATATGTATGTATTGTGTTAGCAAAATCACCAGGAAGGTATCAACACCACCCCTCCCCTCCTATTTTCAACTTCCTTTTGCGTGATATTTTGAAGAAAGATGTTTACTTTGACAGAAATGAACTCTAAAACATTTTCATACGTATCTATTCTTTTCTCTAAAGCAGTGTTATCATTTAACATATCTGAACCAGAGAATGTGATCACAAGCAGGGGGAGTGGCCAAATCACCATAGGGTTGTTTGGGTGAATGCACACAAAATGACTTATCCCCTGGCTGATTTACTGGCAGCAGATATGTTGAAATCCTTGGATGTTTTCCTTCCAACACATAGGTATGTTTCCTGAAACCGATCCCATTTATCTTACTCAAAAAATCAGCCCTATCCATATCAGTCGTATTGTCCTGGCTTGTCGTAAATAACCCGACATCACAATGCTGCCATGGCCACCCAGATCGGATCTCAACACAAATGAAAACCGTGTCAAAATATGCGGCAGAACACACGCAGTCGTGAATAATGCCTTGGAAATATGGGAATGTCTTCAATGTGCAGAAGGCCTTGCTGTGAGAACCAAGTTATGCCATGATGCTTGAACTATGTTTTGGCATCAGGGAGGAGGGAACACAAAATAGCAAACTTGAATATCTTAACAGTATCTTACTTTCCTTGTTTTGATCTTAATGGAATATCTCAATACTCACTATTTAATATAATAACAATAATGCGTGTGAATACCTAGCACTTGTCTTCTCTCATATTAAGACGATTGACCCAACATTATAACAAAAGTATAAGAAAACTAATTAATTAGTGACAAAGTATTATACAATATTATAAATCACTTGCGAATTTATAGCTTCTTACTTCATGATTTACCACACATACCCAAGAGTAGTTGGAATTTCCTAGTGTCAATAACTGTATTTCAAAAAGTATTATTGTATGTGTCTGAATGTTTGGCATGATTTTCTAACGATAGTTTTCTGTGTAGCTATACATACATGCCGTTCTTCAATGGGTTAAGTCTTTTGCCAATGTTTAAATGGTTATGCATTTGTATATGACTGAAATTCGCAATAGCAGAATGTACAAATTATTAGGAATAATCTCACAATTAGCAGATGATCTACCCACATATCTTGTTAATGTTTTTCCCTAAATACTGACCCATACAAGAAACATCCTTCACATTATTACAAGAAATAAAGGGAAGAAATAAAACAGTACAAATACAAAGTCTACTAAGAACAAAAAATAAAAAGATACCGCCAAATTTCTTGAGAACACAAAACAACAAAATAAGTACCGAATCTACTGAAGACATAAAAGACTGCTATAGTTATTTTTAGGTGGAATGAAAGCATGAATGGGTTGATAGAGTCACTTAATGACCCCCAAAAGGGCTAGCAGGCTTGCTCCTTGCTTCTCAGACCTTCCATCTGTTGTAGGTCAAAATCGCACACACATGCTTACTCCAAGGTGAGACTACAAATGCTAACCAATTACTTACTACCAATGGCTAATAAAGCAATCAATCAAAATTTGCATAATGCCAAGTGCAAAAGAAAACCACTGATACATATAATTTTATGCCAATCCAAATTTTAATGCCAAGTGCAAAAGAAAACCATTGATACATATAATTTTATGCCAGATACCAAACTTAGCTGTCTTACAGCAGGGAGATACATATGGTAATAGAATGCATGATAGCAATGGGTTGATGGTCTATAAATCATCTTTGTTCTTTATCAAATTTCAATAGTAACATCATAAACCCTTTCTGCTGGAATAACATGACCTACATGACATGTCCATGATGATTTTACTTTGGCACCTGGGATAGAATTCACTCTCCGGAACACCTGGGGAACACTAACAGCAATTTGTATTTCCTGCCGGGATGTTTAATGTGCGCTGTCAAGTCTGGTCCTTTCAATTTGAGAAGTTTTAGCAGAGAGTTTACAGATAATGTTTACAACCATTTTTTACTCTATGTTCATATTCAATGGCTTACCTTAGCCATACCATATATATCATAAAAGACATTCTTGACTTAGCATATACTCTATTTTTCTGCATGTGTGTGCCAGTTTACTGAATGAAAGAAGTGGTATATTTTCACAGGAGGACAAAAACACTTAATATTTCACAAGTTTTACTTTAGTAAAAAAAAAAAAAAAAGAAAAGAAAAGAATAGAAAAGAAAAGTAAAAAAGATGTACAACTGTACATTGTTTAGGATGTATACACATACTTAACCCATTGAATCCAGGTGATGTAACTGCCACATGATGAAAAAATTTGGCTGAGGGCCAGGTGATGGGAATATGCTGTCATGAAAAAATTGCAAGAGGAAGATGGGAATGACTCATTGTGAATGCCCCATAATCCTGAAGGATGACTAGACTCAGTGGGCACTTCGGAAGGGGCACTTGTATTATTTCCACCAATAAACAAGTGTGGAATGTACACAAAAAATTACAAATAATACAATGTTACCTATTGCTATTATTGCACAGAGTTGTTGACTAGCCTAATGCGATAATATGGAGTCTGCTAAAGGAAAACAATCTATTACCATCTTGATACATGACAAATGGCAAAACAGCAAAAAATGTTTTTTGCAGAAAAAGACATAATAACTTTGCAAAGAGGATATAAGGAATTTAGACACCCCATATGAGTTTTTCATAGGCCTACATGCCCCATACATGGGAGAGTCACCATTCAAGTTAGCCTACTTCCCAGATTTAGGTCTATGTGTGGCCCACGAGTCCCACACATACTCCAAAACCCTGAATCCAATGGGTTTAGGAGTATCTTGATGGGCATGGTACTCCTTGAAGCAAGTAGCCACACACAAAGCAATGCTGCATATCCTACACGACTCGAACCTTCTCTCCACGAACCTTCTGCCTCCAGCAATGGGATAATCTCCACCAACAGAAAGGACTGACCTCTGGCATATGAATAATGACTTCTTCACCAGCAGTAGGTTTTAGATTAAGGTTTAATTTGATTCCATTTGTTACAATGGATATTCTTGGTGTGACATAGTGTCTGTTTTATTTTGCTTCTAAGTTATCCCCTGTGTGCAAGGAATGGCCGGGGTTACCATCCACTGGTGGTGAGGGATTTGAACGCAGGTCAGCAAGATTGCTAGACGAGATCGCTACCGCTGCACCACACAGCAGGATTGAGCAGGGGCTGGAAGGTTCCTCATCCCTTCACAAGCTCTTTTTTTTAATTCAGCTTGAGTCATCTTACCACCAAGCACCCTGTGAACAGCTAAAGAATTCATTTATCACCATATCTAGTAGGTAAGAATAGATCTTCATGCATCACTTTATTATCTCCCTTGCTGCTTGGTACGACTGGGCAAGCTCAGGTTCACACTTTTCATTCTTTTATGGTAAGCTGTAAACTTTGGTTTCATACTTGATTTCAGAGCAGTTTGGTGGCAGGGTGACCATGTTGCTCAAGTGCACCAATGATAGAACTGTCACTGGTCACTTGTTCCTACACTGGAATGCTATCATGCCCATTTAGGTGTTGTGATGATCTACACTGCCTCACCCCTTCACCTGCAAGCCTGTTGGCATGAGCTTTCAGTTATACTGCACCATGCCAAGAGGATTGGTCTTAGAAGTCTGCAAGTAAGGAAATACAAAGGGGGAGGAATATCCATTATCAATGTGGAGCTCATATCCCTTGACAACTATGTCACCTTGCTACATGAGGCTGACTACTGCCTTCATGCTCATAGGAAAGTCCCCATATAAATATTGAAGGCAGTGGTGTACCTGACCTTTGGCCTATCATTGAAACACAGCTTATACTGGCAACACACTGCAAAGCCTGATAGCAACCCTGAAAGGCCCATTGGTTTCCATCCATAGTAATGGTCCTGCTGGGGATAAAGACACCAAAATTTATCAATCCAGAACATCTAAGAACAGTCACAACATCCAAAGCAAATCACTTGCAGCTTTGCTGTTGCTAAAGTGAAGAGCTAAAGAACAATTATGTCCAACATTCCTCAGTGAGGAAATTACTGAAAATCTTGTCAGTATGAGAAGCCAGATCCTGGTGATGAATTTTACCCTAAGATAGGCAAAGAAGCCAACATGATCTGTGGGACATTTGCCTATTTCCTTCAGACAAAGGAGGAGGTCCCATTAATGCCTGGCATAAGATGCAAGCAACTCATCTCAGTCTACCAAAATGTCCTGCTGAGACACAAAGCCAATATCCAACTCGGAGTTGAGCATCGCCCATATCAGGAGCATGAGGATCTGTGAAAGAATAAGAAAGAAAAACATAATCTATCGGTAAAAAGTAGTAGAACTAAGCAGAAATACAAGGGAATATGCAAACAGGGCCAGTGATGTTCCTTGTAAATCAAAGAATGGGAGAAAACTCACCAGAATAATCATCAGTCCTTCACTGGTTCAGAGGCAATGTGCATTTCTCATGTGTCTGTGTTGACACTTTCCTCATTAGAGAAATGACAGATGAGATACAGCAGAGGATCAGGCATACTCCTCAAGCAAGGAATACTCTTAGAGGTTGGGTGTCATCCACTGTTTCCTCAATACTGAGGGAGTGAATGGCAGAAGACCAAGGTCTTCTTGAGTGTACAGTAAACAGCTAGCAAGACATGCTAAAGGGTAAAGATCAGGCTGGCTAAAGATTACCTTGACCTGTGCTAGCCTTTTTATATGGCTTTATAGCTAATAAGGTCACTCCACAAGCCCTGAGCTGGTTTCCGGAGATATCATATGACATGACATAATAAGTCATAACTGCCATACCATAAATGTTCAGGTCGGGAATATGTCTATGTTTACACACAGATAGCTGCACAAGTACTTAATAACAAGGCTTTAATTATAAATTCCACCTATCTGACCTGTTTACCCTTTCCTTGACTTTCCGTAAGATTCTTAATTTTACTCTAAAATTAGTAATTAACCCATCACTGCCGGGTGAAGAAAATGAATAAAAATTCTACACTCTGGATATTAATGGCAACGAGCTGACTTTGAGCAGGGGAGTTTGCTACATCAAGCTGAACGTCTCACTCGAAGCGCTCTGGTGCGTTGCCGAAGCGTACAGCCATACCCCGCAGACCAAGCGGTTTGTTATGACGCCGCTAGTCGTGGCCCAGCAGAATCAAGTTAAATAACATTGTAATCATACTGTAAAAAATTATTAAAAACAGAATACCTATTAATAGAATTAGAAAGAAAATAAATGTTTCCCCCAAAATTCAGGGAGTGGGGATAGCTGGAGACATATTGCAGGTGCTTCTAATTAACTCACTGGTGGCTGAGAACTTGCTGAACCATCTGTGTGCAACAAAACTCACAGCAGACAATACATATAATAGATTAGCCAACAACCTTTTTGGTTTCTCTATATCCAAAAATGTTGAAAAAAACATGATAAACACATCCATAAATCTGTCTTATCACATATTTAATCAAAACATAAATAATTCACCTAAATGATAAATCTTACTTTCTTCATCTCAAGTTGTAGATAAAGCATATTCCTTTCCTTGTTCGATTAATTTTCACAAAGAAAAGCCAAATATAAAAACTAGTGAAGCAAGTATTAACACCACTAACAAAAATTATACTAATCATCCTTAAGATAATTATCATCCACATCATCATGATAATCACCCTACTCACCATTGTGATAATTATCATTTTAACAATAATAAAAATAAAAGCACAATAAAACAATAACAATCACAATAATATTAACATCA